ATGTATGCGGCTACTTATGCTTTGTTCAAGCGAAAAGCTTGTTTTCCGTTGCTTTCTTACTGTACAATTGTCTGCGGACAAACATTTCCAAAAGCAGTCGTTTGTTGCTCAGCCTCTCACTCTTTTTTCCTTCTCGTCTTCCCCACCCCGCCCACGCTTTCTCCTTCTTCCCAATCTCCCTTTCCCTAAAAAAGTTTGGCTAGCTCAGCATTTCACTAGTAAGATGGTGATGAGGAAAGAAGCTAAGAGCAACTGGGATAAACAACAACCCGTGCAGTAAGCCAATGACCATTGTGAGCCATACGGTCTTGAAAAATGTTAGTATAATATAAGCATCAACTGTATAAAGCATCGATATGCCGGCAATTGTTGAGGTTGCGCCCTGAAATACAAAAGATATGTGATGGCTTCCCTTATCTTGAAAAAAAGTATTCGCAGCACTGATGAAAACTACTACTGCTTATGACTGCGCTGCAGACATTTCTCAAGCATTGCCGGAAGAAAGAACCACTAGTAGTCTTGCCGGCCAGGATTGATTTCTTTTGCTCGGGCAACTCCCGTAGGATTGATTTCTTTTGCTCGGGCAACTCTACCTTTCATAGGAAATGAAACACCCCAAAATGAGTTTGACTTGCAATCACAACCGACTACATTTTTATAGCTAAAGCTTGGTCCTTCATTACTGACAAGACTTGCCAGCGACATCCGAGCAAATTGCCTTCATTCCTTTCAAATGTGATATCCCACTTTTTTCGTTTCTGCATATTTAAACAAATGCGAAAACGAGACTATGTATGTGTGTGGACGGGGGGCAGGGAGGGGAGCGTTTTCACATTTTGTCGCTTTCAACTCAGAAACCTGAGAAGCTAGGAAACTGGAACCTTTGGAAAGATTGGAAGCTGTTTTACATCATGCAATACTCTCCCTTTTTAAAATCATCGTTCACGTACGCCCAGGTTTCACGTGCGGATGTCTAAGAGACGTGAAAAAGTGTTGGCTGGGAAATGGTTTTGGAAAACGGATGAAACAAGAAGTTGAACCTTTAGAAAAAGCTTCTATGTCCTTATTTGAGCTAAAGGTTCTGCTATTTCAGCTACCATGCATGTCTACGCCACAGACATTGATGAAATCAAGTTACCATCGGCAAGAAGGCAACTCGAGAACCAAACTGAGTAAAGTGCTTTGACTTTGCGAAAATATTTGTCCCACGCGGGCAAAATGAGTTTTTGCGTCGCGTTACCAAAAGCTGCTTTGCCAAACAGTCAAGATAGAAAGTAAAAATTTTTGGGTTGTTCTATGCCCATGTGCGATATAAATATTTCAAATTTTGCAATAAAACATGCTAAGGTCTCTTGCGGGCGTAAGTGAGTGTTTAGTCTGGGTGCTGTCAGTGCACAGCTAGCTCGATAATTAGCGTGAACAAGAGGCAGTATTTTTCTGAGAATGTTTGCTGTTCTTATGCAGATCAGTAAGTGTAAAATGAGCCCCTGCTTTCGCATGTGCCTTGTGTAGACGTGTCATATGTTCAGATTGCAGCACTTTTGTCACCATCCTCTCTCAGCAATCTGACAAGTAAGGAAGTAAAAATTTCACGCGAATATTGGCGTATGTTGCGCTCATC